ATGTAAAACACACACACACACACACACATCAAATATAACAAATCTGTGTCCTATTCAAATATAAAATATGTTCTATTCTATAGAATAGTTTATTTTAAAAAATTTGTATAAAAAATGAGAATTAAAAGTTATTTTAGTTAACATCTTACAATCTATTTTTTTAAATTGTTTTTAAATTGGGTATGATCTTATGTATGAATTATATTCTTTAATTTTATTTATATTGTGTAATTTTAACATTGATAGTACTTTCCTAACTATTAGCGACGCAACATGATAGATATTATAAAAATATATTCAAATTTATTTTACTTACATTATTTCAGATTGTTTCTGAAATATGCTACGTTTTTCTTGACACATCCAAAACTATATTGATAATATTAATTAGACATACTCTCGTTCTTTTCACTTTATTATATTTTTTCTCCTTTCTTTTTAAAGATATTTTAATTTTTTAGTCGGTCTAGTCATTCTCTTTTCATGTCCATGAATCCATTTATACAAATTGCATACGTAAATAGCTATTAATATTCCTAATTTCTTCTTCTAATTTTAGCGTCATTCTTTTCATTGTATTTTGTACATTATTATCTCGAGACCTTCTAACTGCTATAACCTGAGTTATCCATGAAATACTACTTATACTTATTTGATGTTGAAGAATATGCATTCAGCAAAATTTCTCATGATGTAATATATTTATTATTATAATTTTAATCAATAAATTCTTTAACCTTCCATATAAAAAAAAAGATTTGATCGTTAGCATATTCAATCCTTAATTTTTAAATTATTCAAATAATTTCCTCTATACCATGTATACTAAACATTTTAAATATAATGGACATTAACAAATTTCTTGAGCTCTCCAGATCCACTGATATCTCTTGTTTCCTCTTTTTCCTATAATATTGGTAATATTCCATATTAGTTTAATTGATTCTTAGATTGGTATTTTTATAGTTCATTCTTATAGTTAAGACCGTCTTAAGTCTAAATTTAAGAGATTTCATAAAACAATCACAGAATTGTTCAGAAATAATATAAGTTGTGTTCTAACACACATTGCTAATATTGAAACTTTATGTGTGATACAAACATAATATATTTTCTCAATACTATATAGAATTTTGAAACAGTATAATTAATTATCTCAACATTTTTTATATTTAAGGATATTCCTTTATCTATACAAACTTCATATAGTTCTATCTTCACAACTCAAAATATCTCAGGCTAATAATATATTTTAATATATTATTCCATTTTTCTATTATTTTATGTAATTTAATTTGTAACTGAAAAGGGACAAAATATAAGGGTCAAAATATTTATGCCATTTTCTTTTTCTAAATAAATATTCAATTATCCATTTAATACTAGTTCTTATTAGCATTAATTATAATTATTGATTTATATTTGTAAAATTAATCCATTTGTCTCTTAAAACGGTCTTGAAATAAGAATGGAAAATGTCTGTAAATTGTGTGGATCAAACAAATAAGATAACTTGGCAAAAACAAATAATCTAAAAGACTGGATTGCATGTTTTACATGTTTGGATAAATAGCATAATACGAATTCTTAAACTGTTTTGAATTGTACATATTCGGATCTTCTACGGTAAATGGTTGGATCACGTTAGTGGGTACTGTTTTTTGATTGTGTACATTTGCTACCATGTATTGTGGTGTGGATACAACTTGACCAACTGCTGCTTCTTCTACCAGTTTTCTCTGGGAATAGATCAGTAGCTGGGGCATAGACGTATCATTCTGCTGTTGTGCGTTATCTGCCGCAGATACTGTGAATGCAGTTGTTGTCGAGCCGGACAATTGTTGCGCCTTACACTTTTTTGTATGGGCGTATAACGAACCAGCATTGTTGTACCTTTTAGTGCAGAGTTTGCACGCGTATGGTCGTTGACCGGTATGTGTATACATGTGCTCGTTCAGAGAAGTTAAACGCCGGAAGGATTTAGTACAGATGGAGCAATGATACTTAGCTTCACCGGTATGCATAGTGATGTGCCGCGCCAAAGTGTTGGCTCGAGCAAATGCTCTGCTACAATACTGACAGATGTACGGTTTCTCACCGCTGTGAGTTCTCAGGTGCAGTTGCAGGTATGTGCTCTTGGTGAAGGCACGACTGCATACGTTGCACACGTACGGCTTGATGCCAGTATGCGTGCGCATATGTGCCACTAATGAGCCACTCTGGGCAAAGCACTTGCTACATTTCTCACACAGAAAGCGCTTTTGCGTGTCTTTTACTCGTTTATGTCTTTCTACGTGATTTGCTAGAGATTGAGCCTGTGCGAATGCTTTTGGACAGAGCGCACATTTGTGTGGTCTATTGTGTCGATCCTGCAAAGAGAGTAAATTTATAAATTTATTAAAAAATTGTTTCGTTAGAAATTTATTCTTGCAAAAATAAATATAGATTATAAATTAATAATAAATATAGATTAAAATAGCTTAATTTTTAATATATTACAAGAATTATAATAGGAATAGTTATTTCATTAATGTTTTTATGCTAATATATAAAATTTGCACAAATAAAATCATATAAAAGAAATTTGCCTTTTTTCGATTCTCGGAATTTTCATTAATTTTGCTTTCATTATCTTCCTCATCATCATCATCATCGTCAGTGTTGCCAAATATTTCTTCCTTATGTTTTGATTGTTCATGATCTTTCAATTTGTCGATTCTTGAAAATCCTTTACCGCATGTCGAACAATTGAATTTCAAACCACTATGCGTTGAAATATGTCTTTTCAAATTCCTTTTCGTAGCAAAAAGTTTGCCACACTGAGTACATTGTAAACTTTTAATTGGCAAGTCACTATCGTCGTCGTCTTCCTCTTCTTCCTCCTCTTCAGATTCATTTTCCCTGAATGTTGGTATCCTGTCCTTTTGTTCACTTGGCTTATTCATAGATTGATCGAGTACGTCGTCTGATATATCTATATTGTACTCAGGATGATTTTTAGCATGAGATAAAAAGGACTTTTGATATATGAATTGTTTCGAACAGACTTTGCATGTGAATTTAAAATTCTTCTTTTCCTCCTTCATACTATCTGTCATGTTGCTACTTCTAGTAATTTTCGCCGATACTTTATTCGCTTTTTTATCCTCCTGTGGCACTTTACTGTCCGTTATCTGAGTCTCATGACATGTGGACATGTGGCTTTTCAATTTGCTGATATTAGAGAAGTGCTTGTTGCATACAACACACACGTAACGTAACTTTGTCTTGTGCTTGTGCACATTCATATGTCGTTGCAATGCCATCTTCGTTGCAAATGATTTGATGCAATGCAAGCACTTCTGTCTGATTGTCCTACTTATGAGTGGTTTTTCCTCGTCATCGCTGCAGTTCATGATACTTTTTGTATTCTGACTGCCTATTCCTAATACCGCGGTCTCTTTTGAAACATTATCGTCAAAATTATTCAATAATATGTCATTCTTAATTTCGGTTTTTAAAATATCTTCCCTATTCTCATCTATCAAGCCTCTCAATGTTTCATTATTTTCAGCTAATATTCGCTGCTTTTGCTTGATAAATCTATCTTCTGTTGTTGAATTAGACAATCGATCAGAATGGTCAATTGCATTGACCATATGTGATTCGTGACACAAGGCCGCTTCCATTATTTCAGCATTATGTACATTCTCCTTAAGTGTATTGTACTGCACATCTTTTTCATTTGATTCTATAATTTCTGTCTTTTGCATAAACTTGTGACTTATGTGAGATTCATCATTAATTACCACATCAGACTGAACTACAGTATTCTCAAACATAACCATATCATGAGACGAATAAATATCATGCTCGATAACATGATCTTTTTTACCCAATGTTACATTAGATACAACATCTACAATATCTTTGATCATCATGGTGTCTTTTGCAGATTTGTCATCTAGTGTAGATTGAATCTGCAACTTCAAGATTTGACGTAACCTCAAATCAGAATTCTGAATCTGACATTTAAAATCATAAGACACATCGAGCAGATGGTTGCAAGATAAACAAATGGAAGTTGGCAGGCCGTCTCCTTCTTCTATCTGCAATTTACAAGAATCTTGATATAATTTCACTTTGTAAAGATATTTTATAAAAAAAAAAAAATAAGGAAACATCTGTGTTCTTTAAAAAACAAGCAAGCAGCTTATGTTGTTTACATCGCAGAAAGAAAAGCGTATAAAACTATAATGCAAAAATCATTTTTGTACGATTAACTTTACATCGAAATGAACGAAAATAATTATAAAATATTCCTCTGAATAATCCTTGACGTTAAAAATTCCATTAATTTCCTGACAAAATCAGCGTCAATGGATAAAAAAAATTACTTGTCTGTTCAAAACAACGGCATCGGAATTGCGAGCGTAAGTAGTGAATAGGAACCTTTCAAAACCGAGTGCATTTAAAAAAACGTCGTGGAAAGACGAGAGAGACATGCGTGGCATCCCGGGGCATCTCGTTCGGGACGCGAAAGCGGCTCTCGGCGCTCAAAATAAAGCTGGCGGAGAGAAAGAGCTAACCTGCACAGCAGCGACAGCCATTAGCTTCTCCGGTATTCCGCCGCCGTCGCGGAAGAGCTGGCACGCCTCCGTGCAGGATTTGAGGCAAATGCGACACTCGTCGCCCACGAGCCTCTCCGCGCGTACACTGTTATTCACCATCGCGTCATCATTCGGAACTGCCATTGATACGGAGACGGTGATCAATGACCCGCGAGACAATCGGGGTCCTTACGTGCCGCGAGGAGCGCTGGCTGAGAGCGGCCACGCCGGCCGTTTTCTTGTTATCATTTGATATTTTCATGCACTAGCGCCAGTCGAGAAAGTGGTAAATTATCTAGTCACCTTAATGCACCGCTGGTATATCATCTTTGATATGCCAGGGTTACATTCCAATCAATTTCCTCTCCGAGGAAAATTTGGTAAATATGCAGTATAATGCCCCCTCCCCTCTTCGATTTTCTTGTAATTTTGTAAATTTGTATATTTTTATGCGTAGAATATATTCTGAGAAGGAAAATCGTCGCTCAAATTCCGTTTTTTTAAATTTAATTTAAAGTTTTTTTGATATCGGTAAAACAGAAAATGATAATTTAATAATATAATGTGACTGCATGCTGCTGCGGTACTCCAGAGAGATGATGGTCCTAGTCTCTCGAAAATGAAAATTTAATAATAAAAAAAAGTTAATAAACATTATTAAGGACTGGATATTATTCGGAACAACTATAATATCAGACGTCTTTCAGATGTCTTAAAACAGACGTCTTTAAAACAATACCAAAAAGATACTTTTAAGACAACTTTTTGGACAATCCTAAAAACGTCCTATTTTAAAATGTCTTTCAGATGTCTTAAAACAGACGTCTTATAATATCGAAAAGATACTTTTAAGACAACTTTTGGACAATCCTAAAGACAATACCAAAAAGACACTTTTAAGACAACTTTTGGACATCCTTTTTAAGAAAGTCATATAATAGGACATATCAAAAAAGATAAAAATTTTTAAAACATATATAT